GATCATACCTGTCTAACGTGTAAGTAACGTTGAAAATGAAGAGAATGATGGTCATTGTAATCTGGAAAAAAGAATGTGTATCAGTTGAGGAATTAAACCTGATATAAAAGTGCGCTAAATATGACTGCAAGAAAGTCTTGACTTTGCCACTTCTACGAAAGAAAATGTAAGTGTGTAGTTGGACTAAAAAGTCTCATCTGCGTTGCCGATATTTGAGAATAAATCAAGTGATGGTATTTACGCTAAATCGAGTCGCATTCATAATGTGGCGTAAATTGTAAACCAAACGGTCATATGTCGTCTGAATTCATCTTCAACGAAATCGCCAAAGTTCAGTTGTTCTTTATAACGATTCCTATGAAATATCTTTTTTTTGTGACACTCCATTCAAGTGTAATAAACGATTTCGATTAAGACAAATCTTTTTTTAATTCCACTTGAGCAAAAATAATGAGTTCGGAGAATAACATTCTAAGTAAGGCTTTACCCACAACTTAAGAATCATTCTTTCGCTCGACTCATCATTTACCGCGTCTTATATAGAAAATGTACTTTTATTTTAGTTAACTTTATTTTTCACAATGATTTTATACTTCCTTACTTTCATGCCTTGGAAGGATTGAATAATTTTTTACGGCTTATCAACACTCTGTGAGTTATTTAAAGTTGAAACATGATTTTATCCAGATAGAAGTCTTACTATTTAACTCATGACTTGGGGGGTTGATGGATTCATACGTTTCCCAATGTACTCTACTAGAACATCCACCTTGGATGGAAATGCGCAAGAAACTGTTACATTTGTCAGTCATATATATTGAATTAACATGTTAGTTTCGAATGAAGAGTTTCAGCTCAGAGCACACACCAGGTCTGTTCTCAGGGTGCAGCTTCTTCCAGACAATCGCTTGTGGCTTAAAAATAACAGTTTGGCCAGGTTGTTACCCACGAATTAAAACCATGAGACGATTGTAGCAGTGGGCAAATTTTATTCTGATTGTAAATCTGATGTAGTCAAGCGAGGCAGAGGTTATTGATGTGAGGTGAGGGGAGATGAACAATCTAACGGGTCTGTCTATATTTCTGAGACGAGGTATTACGTACATTATTTATATTATTCGGACTATTGTCCTCATCTTTGTCGACATATTTATCACAACGTTTCGACCGTTGTACGCTCTGTGCCATGTGTCCTCAAGGACACATGGCAGAGTGGATAAAGGCGTTGGTTAGATCCAGTGACAGGACCCAAAAGAGTGTGAGTTCAATACCCGGTTAAGGCAGTGGAGAACTTGGAGAGGGGAATTAACAGGAGATAACTGACATACATTAAAACATGGCACATGGAACTAGAACATTCTACCCTAGTGAGCGAAATAAAGGGTTCAGTTCGAAATTCCAACCACCTGAAGAAGGCCGGAGCGCACAACGGCCGAAACGTTGTGATAAATATGGCGACAAAGATGAGGACAATAGTCCGAATAATGTAGATAATCTAACAGGTGTTTCTTCATTTTCTTTACGCGTCGCGGCGAGGCAGTCTCTTGTTTCAGTCAGTCCGCTCTCTGTGCGTCTATCTTGTTTCGGCTGCTAGTGAGCACTGTCTTGTAGAGTACAGTGTTCTTGGTCTTGTCATTTTTCTCTAAAAACCTAATTTATCAAGAACACAGGGTTTTGTTCCTCGCGTAACATTCTTTGTCAGGTTCTTCTGATATGGTTCTTTTGAGGTCTCCTTCACTAAGCTGATTATCATCAAGGCAATAACGGTCGCAATAATTTCTGTAACATCTTTTAAATGTTTTCATTTAAGAAGACATCGCAATACGAGATTATTTGTCAGTTTCAATATTCACTGTGTACATTGTTATGGTTATCAGAGTAGTTTCGTAGATTGTTATTTAAATTAATTGGAACCTTAGTGGTTAATTTACAATTTCGTCTAAACTAACATAAGGAAACATGGATTGAAAAGAAATGGTGCAACTCAGCCAGAAAGGATTTCAGTCTTGTCGTTGATAATCCATAAGCGTCACGTCACGAATCCCATCACTAGTCAGATGCACTATGTACTTTGGAGATTCTTGATAAAATACAAAGAAGGGTCTGCAATGTTATTAATCCGGATCTGGCACCTCATCTTCAGTTACACTACACATCGCCATAACTTAGCTTCCTTGTGCTTTTTCTATAAATCTAACTATACTCTGGAGGGATATTAATGAATACATCGACGGAAACATGATGAAGAAGAATTCCGTGGAGTTGGATTGCGTCGCCTGAAGACTGCAATCTATTGTGCGTGAAATGCAAAGATATTTGCATTGATTTATTCAACCATATATGTACCATTTTATTCTACTACCATTTACTATCTTTGACAGATCTTCCTAATTCCATCCATATATGTGTGTGTGTGTCGATAGATAGATAGATAGATAGATAGATAGATAGATAGATAGATAGATACGTATGTATGTAACAATAAGTTATATGGTAACATTTTCTTCTTTCGCACTTCTCGCTTGTGGAAATCTCTTCCGGCTTCTTGCTTTTCAGTCAATTTTGATTCTTCCGACATTTAAATGCAATGCCAATCGTTATCTTTTCTTTTCTTAATTACTTTTCTTTTATTATTCTCTCTCGTTAATAACGTTTTTCCTTTTCTTATATCCTTTCACACTCACTAACCCCCCTGCGTTTTAGTGGCTTTGAATTTATATATATATATATATATATATATATATATATATAGAGAGAGAGAGAGAGAGAGAGAGAGAGAGAGAGAAAGAAAGAGAGAGAGAGATTGCTCCCTTTAATCTTTGCAGTGGGGAAGAGTATGTGTTTGAAGCCACAATGCCCTTCCAATCAAAACGGGTAGACAGTATCATCTTATTTTGATGCACACCGCTTTTTCGTTTTTCCCATATCATTTTCCACCGCATATTATTGTAAGCAGTCCATTTATACTGAGATGAATCATCTTTTCAAAAATGAGTAGTTTTATCGCCTTTCAGCAGAGATTTCTTGATGGAAATGCGGTGTCCTTTTCCAGTTAGATCGTGAAGTATCCAATCATCGTAGTAATTCATGTATCCAAGTTTGTTTGTTTTTCAGATATATTACCCAAGCTTATATTATAGATATGAAGTATTTATGCAATATCCCATTTTGTGAGTGGCCTGGATCATTTTTTCATCAATTATTTGTTTATTATCAAACGACTGCAGGCCTGCCGAAACATTTTCAGTCTTCTAGATAAAACATTTCTACTTCTGAAACGAGCGAACTATTTCCAAATCGTACGCTCAGCAACTTTCACTTTTAACATTAATATTGAAAAATCCATATAGGAACCGCTTAGAAAGATGTATTGAAATTGTATTAATTGAAGATGTATTGAAATTATATGTATTGAAGATGTATTGAAATTATATTTATTGAAGATGTATTGAAATAGTATTTATTGAAGATGTATTAAAATTATATTTATTGAAGATGTATTGAAATAGTATTTATTGAAGATGTATTAAAATTGTATTTATTGAAGATGTATTGAAATTATATTTATTGAAGATGTATTGAAATTATATTCATTGAAGATGTATTGAAATAGTATTTATTGAAGATGTATTGAAATAGTATTTATTGAAGATGTATTGAAATTATATTTATTGAAGATCTATTGAAATTGTATTTATTCCGAGCGTTCATGCTCAGAATAAATATAAATTTCAGTTCCGTGTGAAACTGAATCACGTTTTCAAACGCCACCTATCAGAAAGCGTCACAAACCTTTGTTACGGCCTAATAGTTGTCGTTACAGTTACGGCCTAATAGTTGTCGTTACAGTTACGGCCTAATAGTTGTCGTTACAGTTAAATAAATGTCAAGAAAAAAAATGATTTTCTATGGGGTGGGGAATTGTGGGAGCAATATACGAGGTTCAGAGGGAAAAAAAACGTTGAAATAATGGCAGTTTTATTTGAAGTTGGGAGCAATATCATTAAACGGTTATTTATTCGGACGAGGATCTTTCTCACTGTTGTTTTGATATGTTTGAATTGCGAGAATATTTGATCATTGAAGAGATGAGGTACTATTTTTGAAATTAAATTTTTGGAAGTGTTAAACAATCGAGAAAGACGGTAAAAGTAACAATGTAGAACAATACTGTGAGGGGGTGGGTGGGGGGAATATTAATCCAAATGAATTATTATATGATATGTTGTTTAAAAAAAGTTTAAAGAGTGGGAAACAAAATCAAAAAGATAAAAGGGAAAGAAAGAAAGAAAGAAAAGAAAGAAAAGAAAGAAAGAAAGAAAGAAAGAAATAAGGAAAGCAAAGCAGAAGGAAAACTGGAAGTAGGTATAATAGATGGGGGGGGGAGAATGAAGGAAGGAATCGATGAATGAAATATGATAGAGAAAATGAAAGGCTTCTTGGGAAAAGAAAGGATGGAAAAGAAAATCGATAAAGAACTGTTTAAAAAGAAAAGAAATAAAAAGAAATTAGAAAAAAGAAAAATATTCAAAAACCGAAAGAAAGAAAAAAAGAAAGCGTAAATGGAAAATATAAAATAGAGAAAAAAGAGAAAAATAAAGAAAATTAATAATGAGAGAGTGAAAACTTTTAAAAATAATAACTGAGAGAGTGTGAGTGAGAGAGAAGAAGAAGAAGAAGAAGATGGAGGAGGAGGAGGAGGAGGAATAGAAGAAGAAGAAGAAGAAGAAGAAGAAGGAGGAGTAGAAGAAGATGGAGGAGGAGAAGAAGATGGAGGAGTAGAAGAAGATGGAGGAGTAGAAGAAGGAGGAGGAGAAGAAGAAGAAGAAGAAAAGAAGAAGAAGAAGAAGAAGAAGAAGAAGAAGAAGAAGAAGAAGAAGGAGGAGAAGAAGAAGAAGAAGAAGAAGAAGAAGAAGAAGAAGAAGAAGAAGAATGGTTCTTGAAGCAAAAAAATGATGGATGCCAACGAAAATATTTATGCGAACTGAATCGGATTCAGTAATTGCTGTTAGCCGAGAAGTTTGGCATCGGAGCAGAACTGTTTTTGCCGGAGAGACATCAGCATTGGCAAAATGTTTTGTTTTGTTTTTATTGTGATTTCAGGAGCAGACCGAGAGAGAAAGGCTGAGAAATGCACCGGCGCTTGCTCAGCCCTTCAGCACTTCTCTACACACAATCAAAACATACACGCCTGAACATTTTCTCTGTCTCTCTTTCTCTATTTCTCACTCTCTCCCACACACGCTCACTCTATCTTTCTATCTCTTTCACTCTCTTTCTTTCTCTTTCTCTCTCTCTCTGTCTATCTATCTTTCTCTTTCTCTCTCTCTCTGTCTATCTATCTTTCTCTTTCTCTCTCTCTCTCTCTTTCTCTCTCTCTCTCTCTCTAACAATCCTACACACTCTCTCGAATGCATGAAAGAAAGGTGAGTGCATCTGGCGCCTAATGTATCAGGCTTGTCCATTTAACATACAACAGAAAATCACTGAAAATATTTGGAAAAGACAATGTCGCTCTTGCGATTTGAGTCCCATGGCGTTTTACTTTTCGTCTAATAATTAACTTAAAAGCATTTTGAGCCGGCACGCTTGTGTAACGTTACAAAAGTAAGATATCCTTTCTTGCCCTCTTTTTCCCACTCACTCTTTATTTCCCTGTCCCCACACCAACTCATTCTGTCTCTGTTTTTCTCTCGCTAACAATTACTCTTTCTCTTTATATCACACACACACACACACAGATTATATTCCCCTCCCTCTCTTTCCTCTCTCTTCTCTTTCCCTTTCCATTTTCCTTCTCTCTCAATATCTTCTTCCCACTTTCACTCACAAGCTCCTCCTCCATCTAATACGTCCTTTTTCCTCATCACGTTCTATCTATGTGGGTGTGATGTGGGTGTGATATGGGTATAGGTGTGTCTGTGTGGGTCTGGTTGTGTGTGTAGGGCGTGTTAAAGATGAGGAATTTCTAGCAGTTTTTCTTTATTGTAAAAATTATCGAGCAGAGCCTCGAGCTAAAATTGTTCAACGGTCTCTCTCCGACATTCGTCTTGATCAGCAAAATCCTCAAAAATAAAAATAAAAATATTAGCAAAGAATAGAAAAGAAACATATGGAGGTGCATTGGAATAATGGAAGATGCCTTCCAAAAACTAAAGTATTAAAGAAACAAGACAATTTCGTTAAAAATAAGGAGGAGTTGTGAACTGCTATGTAATATCAATCCTCCTATATGGCAGTGAGTACTGAACTTGAGTTTTTTTTTATCATTTCATCCCAAGGAAAGCAATGAAGCACTAAAACACAAGATGTCACTGAGTGGGAAAGAATATGAGAAAAGAAAAAACATTAATCAATGAGAAAAATAAAAGAAGAGGAATCAAGAAGAAAATAGATAACGATTGATAACGTATTTAAAATTTTAAAGATTAAAGTTGGCCGGAAAGCAATAAATCGGAAGTGATTTACACAGGGGAGAAGTGCGAGAAAAAGAAACTTAACTAAGAACTTACACTTACTTAGGTTACATCTAGCCATTTCAGCTGTAAAATGATGAGACCTCGCAGCCAATCTAGTACTGCACTTAAATTCATAAAGTCTACGTAGAACAAAGTAATATTTACTTTGAAAATACAAAAATGTAGAATAAGGTCAAAAGTGGGGGGAGAGGGTATGGCTGGTTTTCAATCTATCTTATCTTACACTTAGCTAACCACAATTACTGATACAAACAAACCACAGTATTCTTTACACCAAAACCACACATTCTTACTTACCATTCTTACTACAGCCACCATCAAAGTGTCTATGAAGTCCTAACTAGTTTTCATGCGTACAATTTGTCTGTGATGGGGGGGGGTAAAAATAACAACTTTAAAAAATGTAAAACCAATGAATATTTTACAATGAATACAATATACAAGAAACTAAACAAAATAGTGTTAGTAATATAACAAAACAATCCTTAATTGTGAAAGAAAAATCAGTTAACTGGACGAAATTAATGCTGAACTAGGTAATTAATAACAATCATACGACCAAACACGCACTCATTCTGACACAGTAACAAATACTAAATGAACACTCGAAAAACGAAAAGTGCACCGCATCTACCAGAGAACTGACATCTCTGTCATCTACCGAGGAGAGTAGGGGAAGTTTAACTGAAGAAAATAGGGACAAAAATAAAAGAGGCCAATGACCATACATCCCTTAGCTAGTTTCCATAGAAGAAAGTTCACCAGAACAATGACCATGAAAGCATTTATAGAAAAAGCACAAGGAAGATATATTACGGCGTTGAGAAACTAACTGAAGCCGAGATGACAGGTCAGAACCAGTAATATTGCAGATTATTCTTTTTATTTTTATAAAAATCCTCTAAATGTATAGCAGTAGGTGTGGCAGCAATATTCGAAGTATAGGCGAATGGTAGACTTATAAACTCTTCTTTGTGAAGTCAAATAATGGCAGTAATATTCAAGCAAATTTTGTTATTGT